AACAGGCTGTAAGGTTTTATATTTAAAAAAAAAGTTAGTGACCTTTCATTTAATTCGTGTTTTATAGATATTATATGGCACAACTTTAGGAATGAAATTGTGTATCGATTAACAGAAGCCTAAATTAAAATACAATTATTGTTACTGTGATTGCATGTTGAAAGTTACTTCTTGCACATCACAATCCTTTCTGATCTTTAAAAAGAAAAAATAAAACATAATTAAATCTTGCAAGTTATAAAAGGCTTAATAATAAATAAATATTAGACAACACCATAATACGTTGCTCCAATACCAAAATAAGTAACTAAAGCACTTGTGTTATGGAAATCGGAAACAACGACGGTAAAAAAATTTGGAAGTTACATAAAAAATACAGGCCATTACGAAGTCAACCTTTTTGTATATAATATCTTTGGGACCCAAAGTTTTGAATTTCGATTTGTGAGCTAAGACAATTTTGAGAGAGTAAAGTACGGAGCTGCAAAAAAAGAAATATGTTTGCGCGCGCAAATTTTCAGTAAGTACTGTAAAAAAAATAGACCTCCGAGCACATTACAATATTATAGTGAGACCTGCGCTTAAAAACTCTTCAGAATGTAATTACCTACACTTATGTATGACTAAAAAAAATAAAATTAGTATAATAATTATGTTAAATGTTTATTAAATTCAATTATTTTGTTGAAAATAGGTACTGCACTAGTTTGTTATAATTATAGAAATGATACAAAAAAATTCCTTCGATCCGGCCGGATTCGAACCGACGTATTCTAGCAAACCAATGCATACTTACATTTGAATAAAAAACACCGTGGCAGGCGCTATGTCAACTAAGCCACGGAACGAACCAACGGACCTCACGAATTTTTCTATGTGCTTGTTTGTCGGATCTTTGTATTTGGTTTTTCCACGACTTTTTAGCCGTAGTGCCATCCATGAGAAATCTATGAAATACAGTTATACTATGGTAAATAAAAACATATAGACTAAAACATATAAACTTACCGAAATTCATCTATCATAGAACGTTATATTCACCTATTTTAAACCGAAGAGAACAGAGACAATCTGTCATTTAATCTTGCAACACTAACAAAGTATGTGTAGTAACAAGAATGTTAACTATTCAAGTTCATTAATAAACCAAACCGTTAGTTAAGACTGTTCGAATTGCCGGTACATTTGAAACGCAATTCTCCATCGAAATCATTCACTCGCACGTTTACTCATTCGTTCGCCGCGGGATCAAAGCCGAGCTAACTTTGTCCCCGTAAATACGTGATTTACGGTAGCCGAAAGCTAATTAGGTGGGAGTGACAGCATGGACTTGGGAAAGGATTAGGGGCGCTAATGCCACGCTTATATTTGCAAGAACGTAATTTGCATGCAATTTCGAATACTGGTACCTAGACTGGTGTGGATACACAATTATTAGCTCTCTGAAATAGTACATTACTGCAGAGGTCGAAAAGTAAGGGATTGCTGGACCGGTGAGTTACGAGTCAAGCAATCTTTAAACCTTCGGCTAAAATTCTTCCTTCGTGAAGGTTTTTATTGAGTTGCATTCTAACTCTATCAAATACGCGAATTAAAAGAACATCATATCTAAATATTTTCATCATGAGCCACTACAAGACTCGGGGGCGCAAAAAACCAAGGCGTCAAAAAATCAAAATCCACATCTGCGTAATCTATCCCGTACTTTACAGAATAACGCATCACTAGCGTTACGCGCCTTGCGTGCAACGAAACATGACTGTGTCACAGCCAGCAAATGCTGTGAAGTCTCTAAATAGTTATATTAATAGAAAATGACGGTATCATGGCACAATGCGTTTCTAACACTCTGGGTAATATGAGAAGTACCGGTCTCTATTCCCGGTAGTAATTAAGATATAACTGTTGAAACTAAAAACTATTGGCACTTGAAGAAAGATTTTATGAAAATACTTGTTACTATGAACCGGTTACTTTTCTTGTGATTTTCAAATTTACATATCGCACACCGGCTACTACGGTCTTAATTTTATGGAGTCTGTTATGGGCGTATACAAGAACTTCCCCAGCTTTCGGTAAAAATATTGAAATAATAACTCAGTTTGATGTTATCTAAAGTTACTTTTAATGACTGATCAGAAGGGCATTTAACACGGTGGTTTAAAATTAATACATCTTAGTAATCATTTACACCACCGTGAGACTCAGACATATTAATTAAAATAACGGATAACTTTTTATTCTTATTTAATTTGAATTTTTATTTAATTTTAGATTTATAGAGAGACTAGAAAGTGACGATGCAGTGTGTAATCCTGCGTATGACTTTAATAAGAATGAAGCAAACGAGTGTAGTTGCTCGCCAACGCCGCCTGCGCCCGCAGTCGTGCCGAGTGATAGGGCAGCCAGGGTTTTGGCGCGCAGTTTCCGTCGAATCACCGCCACAAAATCTCATGATAAGGAACACGAATTGGTCCGAAACACGTCGAGCAAAATTTCGACTTAAATACGTGAGTTATCCGTTATTTTAGTTAACAAAATACATATTAACTTGGCACTTTTGCCATTTTTTAAGTCATAACTGTGTTGAAGCCGGAGTAAGGACAATTTGTTCAGATGGGGAGTTTCGGAGAGTTCTAACCTGGACTGTTTGTGCGGTGCGATTCAAATGATGATCCATCTCATCGTGGACGTTTATTTTATCTTTGAACGACTGTCGTGTCTAGCTGTTCCCATTAGATCGTGATGACAATTTATCGGTTCACGGCAGCCGCCTTGTCGTTTGCACGACAGAAACGTTTGAAGCTACAATTATCTGTCGTCACATTTTTATTTATCGTCCGACGACTGTCGTTCTAGTCCTTCCCATTGTCACGACAATTTGTCGTCGTAATGTGAAAAAGTCGTGAACGATAGTTAATCGTGTTGTTCTATGTGTGAACAACTTCATTTTAATATACAAGCCACGACACTTTAAACTGTACGACTATCTGTCGTCACGACATAACGGGAATGCGCCCTAAGGGTGACGTCTGGCGCAGTGGCAGTGCCACTTCTACTGTTATGGGATGGCGTGTTACTTACCACCAAGCTCAAGACAAAAAGAAAGTTAGATTTCCTCAACACTAACACAGCATATGTGTAATAAAACTACAATAATAAGTAATGAAGATATTCTTGTATTTATGTCAACCGTATTATGATCTACTACTCCCGGGACCCGTTTTTGAGTAGAGCATTTAAGCCAGCTACTTACGATGAGTAAAGCGCGAGCCGGAAAATACTGATTTGCGGATTTGGCCATAATGTTTCATTTTACCGTTCCAGATCAGATCTCCACATTATGTTGCAGTGGGTATTTATATATTACCTATAGTAATAATAATATTTTTACCATATGTTATATTAGTTTTTATGTTAGATTACATTTTTTTTTATAATATCAAGTGACGGGACGAACAAGTCGTGCGCCTGACGGTAAACTACACGCCTGTTCGTAACATTTCTTTTATTCTGTATGATATATATATAGTCTTGATGATTAACTGGTATAGAATGCGTTATGTCGTTAAGTCCGCCATTGCTGCATTATTATATATAAGTATTGCTCAATAAAGTTTAAGCAAAATAAAAATTATGTTAAAACAATAAATCTAACGACACTTGTGGTCAAGAACCGATATCAAATAGTATTCTTTTCCGCTACACATTACCAATATAACCTGTCGTTAAGTATTGATTTATGCATTAATGTATCTTGAAGTAGAAATAACGAAATAAAAACAAAATTAGTTACTAATCATCAAAAGGCTTTCTTACAATTGATTATCCATCAGGGCTTATCCTGCACTGGCAAGGGGGGAAGAAAGGAAGGGAGAAAAAGTAATAAGGGATAGGTATCGGGTAGCAGGGAGACACATTCAGAGGTTGATACAATCTAATTGCTTCCGGACGACCGATTGATATGATGGAACGATTACACGGACGCGATGTTACAGAAGGTATTTTTCAGTGCCTTGTTAATAATTTATTACCTATAATTAACTCTTAGCGTTATTAAGTAATGAAAAACAAGTGTCATTTTGAACCTTTTTTTTATAATATCAATTGACAAGACGAACAAGTCTTGCGCGTGATGATAAGTTACACGCCTGTCCATAACAGTTGCAGTGCCACTCAGGGCTGTAAATCGCAAAGATCTCAAGGGCACAGCCGTAGCGCCTGATATCCTGAGACATAAGTTGACAAGTCCCATGTGCCAGTAATTTCACCAGCACCCTTACTTACCCGCTAAAACCGGAACACAGTAATGCTGACATTAGTGGCGGATTGGTGGCAGAAATAGGTAAGATGGCAGTACTTCCCTGGACGAACTCTTTCACAAGGTGCTCTACTGCTACTAGCCAAATATGTCATCCTACAGAATTTTAAAATTTAATCTGCACTCACAATCTCACAAAAGGACAGTGATGTTAAAAGCCAATGGTAGTACCATCTTTCTAGTGAACCTATTCAACTTATATTTGGTACCGTAGGCAGGTATCGTAGGTATGCGCAAGCTAGGGCGGCCGGGCGGCGTCGTGGTGAATGTTCACCGATCCCACGGCGCTGACTCAACCGGCGAGAGGGAAGCCCGGGGTTTAGTGGGGTAGGCCCACCAGTCTGGAGGGAGAGTCCCCACATAGCCCCTGAGTCTCCCTGGACTCAGGGGTATCCATAATGATTTCCCCCCCGTGAAAAAAAAAAAGGTGTCGCAGGTATACTGTTAATGTACATAAATTAACAGCCGCATACATATGTAAGCCTAATTCTTTTTTAAAAACACCTCTCCAAAAAATTCTATTTTCCAAAACATTGATGGGGATTCGCGAATTGCCATTCCAAAATAGTTTTTAAAACGAATCTCCATCAAAAACGTCACATTCGAAATCCAAAAGACTAAAACCACAAGAATGTCAGATATGTAAGATATATAAAAGTCACAAAAAAGTCAAACAAAATAACTAGTGTTTTTAAAATCCCATAAAGGTGTGGTGAGAATGGTCGATCGGCGCGACGATGGACAGTACAACAGTCGCAGCCGCGGGCCTCGGAGTCACCTTAGTGCTACTTCTACTATTTATAAGGTGGAGATGGAGGAGAAGCAAGGTTAATAAATGCCGCTTGTGCTCATATCACAAACACTTGAAACAAACAATCGACCACAGTTTGCTAATGCAATTGTGACACTGAAATCTACAGGCAAGCTACACAGAATTGTTTTTAAAGTATCCGAAGTTTCTTACACGGAGTTTCTGTCCTGAAAACCAGCTTTGGATTATGACATTGAAAGATTATAAAATAATTATTCACCTCGATGAAGCATTAGTAAACCTGTCGATAATTTCTATAATAGGAACGAAAACCTTCATTCCACAGAGTGTTGTGTGAAGTTGTTTCGGATATTTTAGAAATAGTCCCGTAAAAACAGTGCCATTAAATCTTACGGGTCCTATATTGAAACTAAGTGCAAATCTCGGAGTAATTAATATTCATTATTAAAGAAATCATTAGATTTATGTAGTTTATAAATAGACTGATTTCAAAATCAGATAAAATGGTAAGTTGATGACCATACCGACATATGACAATAAAACATATTTTGTTGCGTGTGTTTAAAGGAAAATTCGAGTACGGAGCCGTTACCACCCTCCAATCAAGTTCAATTAGTGCACCGTCTCTGTCCTCATCACAATGTGATTCAGAGCTTCGAGGTGGAGCAGAAGGATAGCCTCGACGAGCACCTCGACGTGCTCACAAGAAAACTGGCAGAAAAGGTTTCTAGTTGTTTTGTTTCTTCCAGCGCCTTACATCTACTACCGCTTTCTGTGCTTACACTTGAATAATGTTCGTTAATTATCAAACCTACCAAATATTTTTTTTTGCTTTTGGTGTATAATTTTGTCTTCGGAAGAAAGAAACAGACATAAAAACAAATAGTTGAAATAAAAGGTTACTAAAATATTGATGTTGCATTCTAATAATAACAAAATATAAAAAAAAATACTGCAAAAAATATGAAAAACTGTTAAAAAAATCTAAAATAGTAGCTAAGAAGTTAAGGTATATAAACGACATTAAAAATTCACCTAATACGATTAAAACTATGTGGAATGTTATAAATAAGCTACAAATAAAAAACCATTAAACAGAAAATATTAATTAAAATACTAGGCATAAATGCTACCGCAACATTTTGTTATTATTGTTAATTATATTTTCTTTATTAACAACATATTATAGATGCTTATTAATCTTTCAATTTCATAATATAGTATTAGAATAGTTTTTATTTGAGATTTAACAATTGTCTTTTTGTATAAATTGTACTTCGTTTCTTGTACGGTTTTTGGAGATTTTATTTATTAAATGTTGCCCTCTCTGTGTATTTGGGTCCCAAGTTCTAATTTAAGCGTGTCCACCTGCTACATTGTAAACTTTTGGGAGTACAATAAAGCAAGCAGCAAATTCTAATAAATATTTTTAGTAAATCAGAAAAATATTTTTTAATAAATATTTTTCTGATAAAAAAAAAATTAAAATTTTTAAGTAGTTTATTCATGATATAAAACACATGTTTTATACAGAAACTTTCATTGTATTTTAATCAGCCGTTTTTAAAATACCTATACTTTAATTTTTCTCTTTTCGTGGAAAAAAAATAGAAAAATATTAAGGGCATAACTAATTTAAATGACACTTAATATTTGACTCATGAATAGAAGTAAAGGGCACAGTTGTATTCAGTTGTGCTTTTTTGTGTTATTAAATTGTAATTGAACTACAAAATAAGAGCATAGTTCCGTAGGTATATAATTAAGTAAAATTCTTTGATATTAGCTTCTTTAAAGTAATAAACGTCAAATATGACTTTTTATTATAAAAAATCTGATGATTGAAGTCAGTTATTTGAGCTTGCTGTATATTCCACAATTATTGAGATATAATTTCCACAAAAAAAATTATTACATTGATTTATTTTCTGAATGCCAAATTTTTATAAAAATGTTTCTATCCGAAGGCAGACTTTTTATCGTAGCGTTCGTGATCATATTTTAATTATTCGTTATTGGATTGTTTTTTTTTCACGTATTTACAGGAAGGTCGACTCCGCTTGTCGAAATCCAAAATTCGGGAAACGCAAAACGAAATCGAGAACTTACAAGCTATCGACCAAGGTGTGAGATCTCGGTATAGGGAAATTATGGAGTCGTTGCGATCGGACCTGCTGACAAACGAGAAAGAGTGCAAGAAACTGCAAGAACGAATCGAGTGGGTATCTCGCAGGAGGGCCGAAATCAGGGAAGAGGTAAAGACTGTGAATAAAAGTTACCTACTTTTCTTTATAATACCAAGGGGCGGGGCAAAGCAAGTCGTGCGCCTGGTGATAAGCTACACGCTTATCCATAACAGTAGTAGTCCCGTGTGCCTCAAATGTCACCAGCGCCTTTACCCTTCTAAACCGGAACACAGTACTCACATTACTGCTTGGCGGTACAAATAGGTAAGGAATACTTTTCTGGACGAACTGACACAAGGAATTGTACTTACTATTTTACTATTTCTCTTTACTGTAGAAATAATGGCAGAACAACCATAACTAAACGCCGCGGAATCTTAAAAATATGTTTTAAAAAATAGTTGAAAACTTAAGACCAAAAGAAGATCAAGGAGAAAATAACAAGACAGACCAGTCTTGACCACAAAACTACACAGCAAGTGCGAGTACCTCTCCTACCTACTTATTCTTGTTGTGGCGCAATTAGGTTTACATATTGCGTTGAGAGTACCCCAGAACACAGCTCAATATGGAAGCTTATCTTTAAAAAAACTGTTCTTGTTTGCAGGTACGCCGCGGGCAAAAACTGTATGGGGAGGCAGCGGCAGAGTTGGCCAACAACTTGGTGGAGTTACAACGGGGCCGCGGCAATGATACTTGGGCGCCCAACAACGCATATGTTGACGTCCAACTTTCTCACTCACGACTCAACGACAATCGGTACTCAGATCTGCGATTCACGGACAACACTCGGATCACCGACAAGCCGCAATCAATCAGTCAGACGAGCTCTATGCGCCACCGCAAGGAACCTCACCTGCCTCGGGCCACTCCCCTCTCCACCCTAGGCTTCAAGAGTCCCCCTAATACCCCTGATGCTGTGATTTCTCGTATCAATCAAACTCATGAAAGGAAGAGAACTGAGTATTGAAGGCTACATTCACATACAGATATTCGAAAATTGTAACTGTTACTTTCTCATTTATAGTCTGCTTATTTATTTTATTATTATATTATAGTTTTGAAATAATTTATTATTGTTATTTGGATTAAAAAATATTTCTAATAGTATTTTGTGTTGGTTCAATATATTTTGTATGATGCCGTTAACTATCTGTTTTATTGCGCAATATAATCTTATAGCTATAGTAATAATGTACATATAATAATTTTATTGCCATATGGTCCATATAATATATACCTTAAGTACTAATATACAATATAAAAAAAAAACACTATTTCTAACTAATACACACGAATTTCACTTGTCGGCGATGTTTGACGCAATCTGGCGTCATGCAACCGGCCGCGGAACCGCTGATATAAGACACCCTTCGGCCAAAATTCTTCCTCCATGAAGATCCACAGACGTCGGTCGGTACTCTCACCACAAGCGAACTGAAATTCACGTTAATAATATTAACATATATAAATAATATAAACGTTAATAATAATATCATCATTTATTTTATTACCGCTATACCTACATGAGTTAAATTACCTACATACGATCACTGAATCACTGGTCTTTCTACGGAGGATAGAAGGTACATGTAGTCTACACATAGCTTGATTTGTACCTAGCTTCAATATATCCGCTTGTAATTTGTTCCTTTTTTCATTTGCAATTTTGAGCGCTAAATAACGTAAAGTTCATTTTTTACGACAAAGAAACTTGTCAGTTTGTAATAATTAAAGCTATTGTCCACCGTATCCAGGTAATAAGGTAATTAATATAGACAGTGAATGGATGGGGGAGAAGTAACAGTCAACTAATTTAACAGTACGATAGGAAAAAGTCAAAGGAACAACTAAAAGTATCTCTCAAGGTCTAGTCTAGTATCTATTGAGTATTTAGTAATAATGTAATTTACCATAACGGGGTACGTATACGAATAAACAGACACTAAGTGAAGACAAAAACCACGGTTGCTGTATACCGTTTCGACCCCTTTTATAACTCTCGTTAATTCCGAGGGTTAAAATCCCCGAAAAAGTGAGCACTTGCCTTGTTTACAAGGTTTTAGATTTTAATTTAGATTGGGGTTACAGCCTATTCGCGCGCCAAGCGGCGTAACCGCCATTCGAAATGTCGGGAGATTTGGGTTCTTTTCCGTAGGCAGTTAGGGCGTTTGGTGCTTTTTAACGGGTCCGTCGAAGCGTATCCATTAAAATCTCATTCGTATGTGATCACCTAATACAATATCATCAAGTCCGCACCAGGGGTGCTTTGTGAATAATTTCGCGGCAATCTGCTTGCATTTGCTATGAACTTGTTTAATTTTATAATTTTTCCTTAGTATAAAATTACACTTATTTATCACTTTTAAGTGCAATTTAGTTACCACTTGACACAATATACAAAAGGCTGGTCTACCATATTAAAAGTATTTGATCATAGTCAACAGATTTTCATATGTAACAGAGTCAAGAGCACGTGAAGCTCAACATTCAAAGTTTAAATTCAACTCTAAAACAAAACATCCAAACTTCAAAGTGTCATGATGTCTTGGACATGGTGTCTATGCAATTTTATAGAAAAAAACACTTGTTAGCAACAATATCTGTTTATTTACACCTCTTAAATCCTTGATACGTACCTTATGAACTATAATACTACTTACTTACTACTACAATACTTAGTTACCTATTTTTAATCACAACGGTCAAATAACACCCCTTTTTACTGTTTTCAACCTTTGACAACATCTTTAGTAATGAAGCAACTCGGTGAAATGTTATTATTACTTCCTGAATTTCTTATCTACAAAGTTTCATAGATTGAAAGATGGTATAGAATGTTATAAAAGAATTTTGTTAAATAACAATTAAATTGAAAACGCGGCGCTGGACCAAGAATAAAGTAAAAGTAAAGTAAAATGATATGTAAAGATACTACCACAAACAGACAAAAAAATCTGATTAAAACCTAACTATTCAAACATTCATTCGTACCAATACTTATGTTTTTTTTTTAATGGAGCATTCGCAGTCACATCTGTGCTTTCTAAATGAACCATCGTTTCGTCAGTTTGTTTTGTTTTCATCACATTTGTTTCGCCGGAGGTAGTGAGAGTTTATTTAATAGGATCAGCAAACTTTCAATTAACTACTAACAACGTTGGTCTCTTTATTGTCGTGAGAATTGTTGTTGTTTCGTGTCAGAAACTTCGTATCTGTTTAATTAAGCGCTGTCGTTCGATAAGAATTGTAGGTATTCTTATTTGTATTGTAGTACCTATTCTGTCTAAGAAAAACAACCAGTCAAACTCAAATTCAAACTTAAATAATTTTATTTCTTATGTAAACAAATTACAATTTAAATCGTCATATTTATTAAACTCTCCTGATCATTCGTAAGACAGATGGGAATCTGTGGGAAGAATGAATACGAAACTGTAGGGGTTGCACTTTGTAAAATATATACATTTTAAACACGTTTATCATTTACAATATTTCAAAGTCACAGTCAAAGTCAAATAATCATTTATTTTTTATTTAAATAAATTATTTAAAATTTTACATTTGAAAACGTCATTTTTAAGGTAATGCTCGTTCACTACGCTGACCTCCCTGAGTAAAAACGAGCAAGAAACTCTAGGGATTGCTCTTTTCAAGTAAACTTAAATGCAATAGAATACATTGTGAATAATATTTGTGTGGAATCTAGACTCATGTTGTCTTTCCATACATCTTTATCTAACACGTAGTCTACAATTTTGTAATATGACTTTTCAATTAAAATACTTTTAATTTAAGTTAAGCCTATGAAATGGTAATCTTAATATACGCTCCGGAATCTTATTGTAAAAACGTATACAGTTCCCCGTAAAAGAATCGTTTACCTTAGTTACACGAAATCGACCACGAGTTTAGATTTAGTTCTAAGGTTAACATTATGGATAAATCTTCTTTCCTAACAAAATTATGTATATTTTTACGGGTAGAAGAGAGCGGGGCTGAACGTTCCGATTTTCAAATAACTTGCAAATTTTTTTATACTAAAAATGAAGGATTTGATTTTCAAAATGTGGAAATATTAAACAAATGTTTATTGCTTTTTGTAATAGTAGGTATAGTCACTTCTGCTAATATCTCAATAGTATTTTTCATAGAAGCTAATTTTTGACAAATTTCGGAGCGGAACATTCTGCCTCGCTTTGGGGCGATTATGACAGAATAACAAAGATTTTCTTAATAAAACCACCTATTTTATAATTGTATGTATGTAATGTTTATATTATGCACAACTAACTTTAAAAAAAATAACTACATTCTTATTCATCAGTAACATTATTCATCGCTCATTTCTTCATCTGAATCACAGTTAAGACACACATAAGTGACTATCATCTTGTCTAAATATTTGACAAGAGCCAGTTTGTAGTTTGGCATCCTTAAAACAAAGAAAAATGGTCATAACAATTTTAAGTATAATTTAAACAATTTAAACCATATCACACACATAATAATAATAATAATAAAAACTTTATAAATAATAATAATAATAATAATTTACAGAAATGAGGATAAACAATGTATAATTACGCAATTTACTGAATTAATGAATTACTTAAAAAACAATTAATATAAAATAATAAAAAATTCAAATATGTGTGTGACGGACACGAGCTCAGGGAAATGCTGAAATCACTTTGTAGTGATTTCAGCCCTGATTTTCAGCTCGACCCCACCATGGCAGCTCTACGTTGTCGATGACACACACAAATCGCAAACAAACATCAAATATTATTTATCTAATAATAATAATAATAATAATAATAAAATGAAATAATAATAACAATGACAATAAACCAATAATAATATTAACAAATCTATAATTATGAATTATCTTAAATTATTAATTAAATTATCTCAATTCTAAACAATTATTTTAAAAATAGTTTCTATAGACATTCCATAGACATCGCACAGAGTCTTATTTTTCCCTTTATTTTGCGTTTCATAAAAGCACTCACTTTTGATCCACCAGCATATTCCTCTTTAGATGCATTTTCAGGCTCAAAAGGGATCCGCGTTCGCGTAAGGGTGGAGGGAGGTTATTCCAGATCTTTGATGCTGAGTACTTGAATGAACCCTTATATCCGGTTGTTTTGTGAGATGGAATTCTTAACAAAGTTCCTTTACTTCGCAGATTTCTGTCAGATTCATCTCCTCTCCATTCCAGTTTTTCATATACTTAGATATAATGGTCGTTTCGTGAATACTATTTTGTGAATAAGGTAAGTGAGATGCATGTGTTTGCGCGCTTCCATTTTCAATATTTTGTTATCATGTAAATATGGCGTGACATGCGACCGTTTAGGTATTTTATAGCAGAAACGGGCACATGCATTTTGTACCCGCTGAATCGCCGCCTTTGCGTTCACCAGAAGTCGCGGACCGTAAACCGAATCACAATAATTGAGTTGGGACAAAACAAGCGATTCCACCAAGATTTTTCTGACCGGTAGAGTCAGATGCTTTCTTATGTTATATAGTAGTTTAAGCCTATAGAAGCAGTTTTTTATTTTAACGTTTAAATGCTCAGCATAATTGCAGGTCAATTGGGGTAGTTGTTCCTAGGAACAATCAGCCTCTCGAGGGAGGAACTTATAGCCCCAAATTACGTTTTTACGAAGACTGACATACCGGCAAAGTAATAGAATCAATTAAAAAAATATTCAAACAATAAGATTCCTTACTAACGTCACTACAATTTAGAAAAGTTACGTATTAATCGGCCTATAATAAACAAAGACAGACCAAAAAATTTACTTACATGATATTTTGACAGCTCCACGCACATAGCCAAACACATAGCCACACACATAGCCACTCACATAGCCACACACATAGCCACACACATAGCCACACGTCGTCGCCGGAGTAACTGATATGGCTACCGACAAAACGCACCACCTGACGCTTTAACGACGCGCTGCACTTGTATTGCTACATATTTTCCTTGCAAAGTTATTGCTGTGAGAACAACTTACCCCGGGAACTAACAACCCCGGTCTTCCCTATACCAAATATTTGAGTAAATGTACTGTGATGCCACAGCGCACAGTCATGATACCAGTCTCCTTAAACTTTTCTC